ACTTCGGGATGCTTCATGATTTTCGGGCATCTAGAACATATGGTCATAAGGGTTGTTTTTATAGTCTTCGGGATGTTCATCACTTCGGGTTGCTTCATGATTTTCGGGTAGCTTGAACAGATGGTCATAAGGGTTCCTTTCATGGTGCTCGGGACGTTCATCACTTCGGGATGCTTCATCATTTTTGGGTAGCTTGAACAGGTGGTCATAAAGATTGCTTTCATGGTTATCGGGACGTTCGTCACTTCGAGATGCTTCATGATTTTCGGGTAGCTTCGGAATGCCATAAGGGTTGCTACGTGAAAATCAGGAAGCATCTCGAAGTGATGAACGTCCCGAAGACCATGAAAGCAACCGTTATGGTCATCTGTTCAAAATACCCGAAAATCGTGAAGTGTCCCGAAGTGATGAACGTCTTGAAGATCATGAAAGCAAGCCTTATGACAATTTTCGAGTAGCTTGAACAGATGGTCATAAAGGTTGTTTTCATGGACTTCGGGACGTTCATGACTTCGGGATGCTTCATGATTTTCAGGTAGCTTGAACAGATGGCCATAGGGGTTGCTGTCATGATCTTCAGAACGTTCATCACTTCGGGATGCTTCATGATATCCGGGGAGCTAAAACCGATGGTCATAAGGGTTGCTTTCATGGTCTTCGGGATGCTTCATGATTTTCGGGTGGCTTGAACAAATGTCCATAAGAGTTGCTTTCATGGACTTCAGGACCTTCATCACTTCGAGGTGCTTCATGATTTTCGGGTTGCTTGATTAGATGTCCATAAAGGTTGCTTTTATGAACTTCGGGGCGTTAATCACTTCGGGATGCTTCATGATTTTTGGGTAGCTTGAACAGATGGTCATAAGGGTTGCTTTCATGATCTTCGGGTCGTTCATCACTTCGGAATGCTTCATGATTTTCGGATAGCTAGAATAGATAGTTATAAGGATTGCTTTCATGTTCTTTGGGACGTTCATCACTTCGGGATGTTTCATGATTTTCGGGTATCTTGAACAGATGGTCATAAAGATTGTTTTCATGATCTTCGGGACGTTCGTCACTTTGGGATCCTTCATGATTTTCAGGTAGCTTGAACAGATGGTCATAAAGGTTGCTTTCATAGACTTCGGGATGTTCACCACTTCGGGATGCTTCATGATTTTCGGGTATCTTGAACAGATGACCATAAGGGTTGCTTTCATGATCTTAGAGACGTTCATCACTTTGAGATGTTTCATGATTTTCGGGTAGCTAGAACAGATGGTCATAAGGGTTGTTTTCATGGTCTTCGGGATGTTCATCACTTCAGGTTGCTTCATGATTTTCGCGTAACTTGAACAGATGGCCATAAGGGTTGCTTTCATGTTCTTTGGGACGTTCATCACTTCGGGATGTTTCATGATTTTCGGGTACCTTGAACATATGGTCATAAAGATTGCTTTCATGATCTTCGGGACGTTCGTCACTTTGGGATCCTTTATGATTTTCGGGTAGCTTCGGAATGCCATAAGGGTTGCTACCTGAAAATCATGAAGTATCTTAAAGTGATGAACGTCCCGAAGACCATGAAAGCAACCCTTGTGGCCATCTGTTCAAAATACCCGAAAATCATGAAGTGTCCCGAAGTGATGAATGCCTTGAAGACCGTGAAAACAACCTTTATGACCATTTTCGGGTAGCTTGAACATA